TGACTGAAACAAAAAATCGCTCAATCGTAATTTCTTCACGAGAACACAAAAACGAGACACTTTTCTCAGTGTTTTTGCTTGAAAATGGAAACGAACTTCGTAAAATTTTAAAAAAATTTGTTCAGTAATCGCAATCGAATGGAAAATGAAACTGCTATCATTGACTACTGCTCAACAATAATACCTTATCGTCTGATGGCTGAATCAAGGTACGACGGACACTCTGCAGACGAACCAAACTCAATCGTTTCTCAACTGTCATCACCGCAAAATCATCGTTATCGTATTTTTGCTGCAACCATCAAAATAGTGTTCAATACTGATCACTGAAGTAACAAACAATCCGATAATCGAATCGAACCGAATTCAAATCTCGTTAAAAACGCCACCAACCAGCTCTTCGGTAGGAATATCCTGCAGAAATCCCTGTGTTTTGCTCGTGTCATGCTCCTCCAATTTCTTACGATTGATTCTGAAACTTATTGAAAATATTCATATCAAATCAATGCCATTCTTATTTAGGCTTCAAAATCGAATATTTCACTTGCTAAAAATAATTTTCCACTACATCGAAACTATTTTCAAAAAATACGATCAGTTCAAAATCAGTTGACAAACAAGAAATTCAGCCAACAAAATTTGAAACCAAATAACTTAATTGCAAAGTGCAAATTCGTTTACAATGACAAATTAATTAGCAATAGAACAAATTGAATGGAAAATGAAAAAAATTAAATATGAAACGATGATATGGAAGAAAAGATATTAAAAATAGAAACTTAGTCATCTTGGTCCGATCATACCTAAGTTGACCATGCGGAAAGACTCGACCCTCCTCGTGAAAGCCATCAATCGCGGCTCGTATAGCCTCATCCACTACTGGATCGTTCGCCGACTCCACGTCCGTGTTGCATATTAGCAAAATCTGTAAAGTTTACTTCTATTCAAAATATTTACTAATCATTCCATTGGATCATTTTAAAATTTTGGAAATCTTCGAATTCTAAATTTTTATGAAACAAATGCTTCGTTGTTTAGACATAATTCAGAAAAATTTCCTCATTTATTCATTCTCAAAATTCATGTTTTCCACCTTGAACGTGCGTTTTTTACACAATCAGATAATCAAACAGAATTCAAAATCTCAGCAATGTTAACTCCTAACTTCAAACTATACACATTTGAGTTTTCCGAAAGATTTTCTATCGAAACTAAGATATATACGGGATCACTCACACCACACACATCTTCATTTAAACTA